GCTTGAGTACTGCATGCAAACGGCTAGCCCCTGCCTAAAAAAAGATAGTGAGCTTCTGGAAAAGGTTCAGAGAACATCAAATAAGCTGATTCCCGGAATAGCGAAGCTTCCGTATGATGCTCCTTTGGCCAAGCTAAACCTATTACCGTTGTCACAACGGAAGCATTGTTGACGACCCTAATACTATTCGTGAACAATTCAGCAAGTACTTCTCGCAGTGCTACAAAACCGGAACTGAAAGCTCTATCATCACATTACCAATGTTGACATCCAGACACATATCGAAAATTGATTTTATATCCTCCAACATCAAGCAGGCCATAGCTGCCCTAAAAACGTCTTATGATGGTGGACCTGACGGCATCCTCTCATCATTTGTGAAGTATGGGAGTAGAGAATTCCCACTATTTTGTTTGGAACTTTTCAATCTATCTATGGAATATGGGACCTATCCATCTGTATGGAAAACATCTCTTATCACCCCTAGATTCAAGACAGGATCACGTATTGATATTGTTAACTATAGGCCAATTAATTTAATATCCGTGCCCTCGAGGACCATGGAAAAAATCATCCACAAACAGCTATTATCATTTTTACTTTCGGCTAGTCTGATTAGCTCATCCCAATACGGATTTATGACTAAACGCCCATGTTTCACATCGCACCTGGAGTTTTTTGATCAAATTACCCAGAAAAGAGATGTTGGTCAGTCAGTGATAATCCTTTACCTCGATTTTAGTAAGGCTTTCGACAGTGTCTCACACAAGCTTCTTCTTCTAAAACTCTTTTCATTTGGCATACAGAATCCCCTTTTATCTTGACTCAAATCTTTTTTAGAAGAACGTAACCAAATAGTTCGCTTTGAATCTTGCTACTCTCATCCTGTGAATGTAACCAGTGGGGTTATACAAGGAAGTGTGATTGGTCCATTACTCTTTCTCCTTTTTATCGATGACGTGTGTTCCCTCTTTCAGTATGGTAAACCTTTCCTTTTTGCCGATGACCTAAACGTAGTTTATTCATTTTCTTCTCCCACCAAAGAAAGCTATATTTCAGCGGTAATCCAAGATGAAATAAACAAGTTATACGAATGGGCTGTTTCGTGGTATTTGCCACCACCATGTGGAACAGACTTCTAGTGAACCTCCGTTGCAGTAAAACTACGACCCGGTTCAGAAGTCTCCTTGATGAATTATCTGAATGGTCTCAAACATGGCAGTTGCCGATAAATACTTCCAAGTGTGTTGTGATGCATATCGGTCATCAAGGTACAGATACATACACGATGAATAACACTGAGCTACCCGTCGTCCAGACATATAATGACTTAGGAGTCGTCGTTAGTCAAGACTTAAAGACTACTGCTCACTGCCGTGCAATAGCCTCCAAAGGTTTTAGAACCTTATGGTCAATACGTAGGGCTTTTAGTCATGTCCACGCTAAAACGTTTTCGACTTTGTATACAGTGTTCGTACGTCCTGAGCTTGAGTACTGCATGCAAACGGCTAGCCCCTGCCTAAAAAAAGATAGTGAGCTTCTGGAAAAGGTTCAGAGAACATCAAATAAGCTGATTCCCCGAATAGCGAAGCTTCCGTATGATGCTCCTTTGGCCAAGCTAAACCTATTACCGTTGTCACAACGGAAGCATTGTTGACGACCCTAATACTATTCGTGAACAATTCAGCAAGTACTTCTCGCAGTGCTACAAAACCGGAACTGAAAGCTCTATCATCACATTACCAATGTTGACATCCAGACACATATCGAAAATTGATTTTATATCCTCCAACATCAAGCAGGCCATAGCTGCCCTAAAAACGTCTTATGATGGTGGACCTGACGGCATCCTCTCATCATTTGTGAAGTATGGGAGTAGAGAATTCCCACTATTTTGTTTGGAACTTTTCAATCTATCTATGGAATATGGGACCTATCCATCTGTATGGAAAACATCTCTTATCACCCCTAGATTCAAGACAGGATCACGTATTGATATTGTTAACTATAGGCCAATTAATTTAATATCCGTGCCCTCGAGGACCATGGAAAAAATCATCCACAAACAGCTATTATCATTTTTACTTTCGGCTAGTCTGATTAGCTCATCCCAATACGGATTTATGACTAAACGCCCATGTTTCACATCGCACCTGGAGTTTTTTGATCAAATTACCCAGAAAAGAGATGTTGGTCAGTCAGTGATAATCCTTTACCTCGATTTTAGTAAGGCTTTCGACAGTGTCTCACACAAGCTTCTTCTTCTAAAACTCTTTTCATTTGGCATACAGAATCCCCTTTTATCTTGACTCAAATCTTTTTTAGAAGAACGTAACCAAATAGTTCGCTTTGAATCTTGCTACTCTCATCCTGTGAATGTAACCAGTGGGGTTATACAAGGAAGTGTGATTGGTCCATTACTCTTTCTCCTTTTTATCGATGACGTGTGTTCCCTCTTTCAGTATGGTAAACCTTTCCTTTTTGCCGATGACCTAAACGTAGTTTATTCATTTTCTTCTCCCACCAAAGAAAGCTATATTTCAGCGGTAATCCAAGATGAAATAAACAAGTTATACGAATGGGCTGTTTCGTGGTATTTGCCACCACCATGTGGAACAGACTTCTAGTGAACCTCCGTTGCAGTAAAACTACGACCCGGTTCAGAAGTCTCCTTGATGAATTATCTGAATGGTCTCAAACATGGCAGTTGCCGATAAATACTTCCAAGTGTGTTGTGATGCATATCGGTCATCAAGGTACAGATACATACACGATGAATAACACTGAGCTACCCGTCGTCCAGACATATAATGACTTAGGAGTCGTCGTTAGTCAAGACTTAAAGACTACTGCTCACTGCCGTGCAATAGCCTCCAAAGGTTTTAGAACCTTATGGTCAATACGTAGGGCTTTTAGTCATGTCCACGCTAAAACGTTTTCGACTTTGTATACAGTGTTCGTACGTCCTGAGCTTGAGTACTGCATGCAAACGGCTAGCCCCTGCCTAAAAAAAGATAGTGAGCTTCTGGAAAAGGTTCAGAGAACATCAAATAAGCTGATTCCCGGAATAGCGAAGCTTCCGTATGATGCTCCTTTGGCCAAGCTAAACCTATTACCGTTGTCACAACGGAAGCATTGTTGACGACCCTAATACTATTCGTGAACAATTCAGCAAGTACTTCTCGCAGTGCTACAAAACCGGAACTGAAAGCTCTATCATCACATTACCAATGTTGACATCCAGACACATATCGAAAATTGATTTTATATCCTCCAACATCAAGCAGGCCATAGCTGCCCTAAAAACGTCTTATGATGGTGGACCTGACGGCATCCTCTCATCATTTGTGAAGTATGGGAGTAGAGAATTCCCACTATTTTGTTTGGAACTTTTCAATCTATCTATGGAATATGGGACCTATCCATCTGTATGGAAAACATCTCTTATCACCCCTAGATTCAAGACAGGATCACGTATTGATATTGTTAACTATAGGCCAATTAATTTAATATCCGTGCCCTCGAGGACCATGGAAAAAATCATCCACAAACAGCTATTATCATTTTTACTTTCGGCTAGTCTGATTAGCTCATCCCAATACGGATTTATGACTAAACGCCCATGTTTCACATCGCACCTGGAGTTTTTTGATCAAATTACCCAGAAAAGAGATGTTGGTCAGTCAGTGATAATCCTTTACCTCGATTTTAGTAAGGCTTTCGACAGTGTCTCACACAAGCTTCTTCTTCTAAAACTCTTTTCATTTGGCATACAGAATCCCCTTTTATCTTGACTCAAATCTTTTTTAGAAGAACGTAACCAAATAGTTCGCTTTGAATCTTGCTACTCTCATCCTGTGAATGTAACCAGTGGGGTTATACAAGGAAGTGTGATTGGTCCATTACTCTTTCTCCTTTTTATCGATGACGTGTGTTCCCTCTTTCAGTATGGTAAACCTTTCCTTTTTGCCGATGACCTAAACGTAGTTTATTCATTTTCTTCTCCCACCAAAGAAAGCTATATTTCAGCGGTAATCCAAGATGAAATAAACAAGTTATACGAATGGGCTGTTTCGTGGTATTTGCCACCACCATGTGGAACAGACTTCTAGTGAACCTCCGTTGCAGTAAAACTACGACCCGGTTCAGAAGTCTCCTTGATGAATTATCTGAATGGTCTCAAACATGGCAGTTGCCGATAAATACTTCCAAGTGTGTTGTGATGCATATCGGTCATCAAGGTACAGATACATACACGATGAATAACACTGAGCTACCCGTCGTCCAGACATATAATGACTTAGGAGTCGTCGTTAGTCAAGACTTAAAGACTACTGCTCACTGCCGTGCAATAGCCTCCAAAGGTTTTAGAACCTTATGGTCAATACGTAGGGCTTTTAGTCATGTCCACGCTAAAACGTTTTCGACTTTGTATACAGTGTTCGTACGTCCTGAGCTTGAGTACTGCATGCAAACGGCTAGCCCCTGCCTAAAAAAAGATAGTGAGCTTCTGGAAAAGGTTCAGAGAACATCAAATAAGCTGATTCCCCGAATAGCGAAGCTTCCGTATGATGCTCCTTTGGCCAAGCTAAACCTATTACCGTTGTCACACCGTAAAATTAGATGCGACTTTATTACAGTGTTCAGATTCCTTAGTGATAAATTTGCACCTGATATGCTCTCCTTTTTCTTGTCTTCGAAGACAAAGAATTTACGAGGTTAATCCAAAAAGGTTCACAAGCCCAGAACAAATTATCTGTCAGCTGACTATCGACTTTCCCACCGAATCATCATAGAGTGGAATTCATTACCTCAGCACGTGATTGAGGCTTCACTCGTCGACTCTTTAAAAAGAAAGTTGGATGAACTGAGAGACAAACATTGCCAGGATTAACACAGACCATCAAGCCTCTTGTCCTTTAAAAAATGAGACTGAAACTGAATGAAGGAGCAATAGCACTGTGTGACCTTGAGATCGCTAGTTTTACTGCGCTTTGCTATAGAAACGGAGTTTTGACCGACTTAAATATTTCTCGATCTCAGGTCACCCTAAATTGAGATCTAGAGTTTCGGTGAGTGTACGGTTTATCACAGCTTGACGTATCCAAACTCTGCAGCATATATGACCCATAAAGATGTTTAAACTAGAAATAAATTCTGCGAATGGTGTACAACACATTATAGTCACCAGGCCAACATGACACGAGCATATTTCCAAAACGTCATCAGTTGGCTCCTCGAGGCAGCCCTAATCAAAGAGCGGACACTCCTGCACATCCTCATACTTTTCACCAAGAATTCACTTCATTTGAAATACTCCCCTACTCAATCTCCCTATTTTAAAAAGGGAGATTGAGGAAACGGCTATATAAAATTTTGGGGAGATGGCACAAAACCCCCAAAATTGGGAAATCGAGCATCAAAAGTGACCACACCGTCATTAGTAAGCAACTGTCAGAGAAGACGTAAAAAGCACTTACTCAATCACGAATTACCATATCCACCTTCTACAGGCTGTGTCTGTTGCAAGTCCGAATGGTTGCCACGGTTATTATAACCGCATACCAGTAACAGCGTTTTATCCCTCTTATTATCACCTCTGTTTTCACTTTTATTCTTTCGATTCCGTCTTCTTAAACACTATCATTTAAGTGAAGTGCGTATTCAGCTTTGAAAAGTTCTTAGCACTCGAATAACCATTTTATTATTTCCATATTTCAACTATTGTGTTAGGCGCTGGTATCCAGAATCTCTATCACGCTGAGACAAACATACTGAAATCACAAGACATACAAATCCATAAATATCTACCAAGCAGACTATAATTAGCGCATTTGAGTGACTAGACTACTGCCAATTAGACATCATTGAATACTTGAAAATGTACTAAAATAACAAGCAGATAGTCCAAAGAAATCAATTGATTTGTACAAACTTGTGACGGAGATATTAAACAATGAAACATAACGGGTCCTTCAGAATTGTTTGAATAAATTGTATGTGTGAGATTATTTGTCAGTCCCATGTGTCTAAACAAGAGCTCAGACGATGAAGTTGGTTTATCGTAGATCTTTATAAAGAAAGTTTATTGAGTCCTACATTCCTCAAACTTGTGACTTTAGCATTCCTGACACATTATGGATTTCAACATTTATTTCTTAGAAGTCAAACTATTGACTGTAATTTAAGATTCTGAAAGACTTTTTAAGGTTTAATAATTTCACATTGGTGGTTTACTGACAATACCGGCTGTGACCAATGTATAGTTCCTAAGGACTCCTTAAATTCAAGATTTTGGTAAGGGAACGTGAGGTAGAAACTAAATGTTTAGGTACCGATTTTTAAACAGATTTTATTATTTATCATCGATGTCATTTGAAATAGACATTTTACTTGAGGTGGTACTGGTTTGCATTTACGTGAAACATGATTTTTGTCGATCTACATTTGATCACTGGTTATGAGGTTGGGTAGCAATCGATTTTTGAAAATAAATGAACACCGTCATGAAACTTTCACATAGAAGGCGCAAATCATGTGTTTTAGTGCGTAGAACATTGAGCTGATTAAACATGAGGCATAAATCCATGATGAATTAGAAACTTGTAAATCACGGAGACAGTAAGCTTAATGCATTATATTTTGACGAAACATGCTAGGTCAACAATAAATGCTCTTCAGCTGTAATAGTCTGAGGAAGCCAGCCTCTGACCCAAAAATGTTCTGTATAGAGAAACATTCAGGGAAAGTATGGAAATTTTGACCTATAAGTCGGCTGTATTGTCAGTTCTGAAGGTTTTCTCGTAGCAGTGATATTTTGGTTTCATGTATCAATGTTATGACCAGTCAGTAGATGATTTGAAGTCTGTCCATAATTTAAGCATTATTTAGCTTACAGAAAGTGTATAAAGTTAGCTACAGTAAGAACTACTCATAAGCGTTTCTTCGAGTCGAATTTGTCCATGCGCAGTTTTATGAATATGCATCTATGGTACAACTAGCTAATAAAACCCTAACAGCGTAATTACCGTTAAACCAACCCATATTACTGTTTACAATGTTTTATTAAGTAACAGTCACCAGTCTAAGAACAAAAACTCTTTTGTATTATCAAGAGTTATGTATTCATTTCGGGTAAAATATCTGCCTCAAATTCCAAGTAAGATGATAGGTTTAGTGAAGTTTTGTCAGTTCTCATTTTGAGGTCGACTCAAAAAACATTTAATACTTATATTTTTTGAAGTCTGTTATTTTGGGTTGATGTGATCAGTGGTAACGCACTTACTGCTCCGGCTTTGGCAACGTTAACGAACTTATTGGAAGGGTTTCAACAACCAGTGTTTTATCATAGGACTATCTCTAAAACGAGTGTGACTGGGCTGAACTTATGATATTTTTAAAAGGTTGATAAGTATTCACCACAATTCACCCCTAAAACCGAAGAGCCATGATATGAAGGATACGCAGATCAATGACGAGCAGTGATGCCTAAACTGAGATGGTCAATTAGATAGCTGGTGGTTTGACCGAGCTTCAAAATTAAGGCAAATAGGAATAAGAGGGTTATATTGATTAGGCGAGTGGAATACACTCCAAAGTAGGGAGATAGGTTATGTACACAAAGCTGCAGCCAGTGTAATTTGATGTAAACTATCTGTTGATTGGTTGATGACTGAACAGGGTAAGAAAAAATGTACCAAATAGCTACCAAAGCTGAGATTCTTTCCATCCTATGCAGCTACCACCATTTGAATTATCGTTCTTTGACTCTATAAAAGGCCATATTTATTAGTAACTGATAAAATTTTTTACCAGTCATATTAGTTTGTTGACAAATCGATAGCGAACAACCTAACGAATTATTTTTACTAGACCTCATCGAGCCAAATTGTTTTATTTAATCAGAGGAAAATAACATTAGTACAAACATGCAAGTCGTTAAGAACGTGTTTGCTAAATAGGAAACTTAGTCAAGATTAATAATCCTTAAGTCTTATCTTCTTACTAGAAGTTTGATTCTCATGTAATTCTCAAAACGTAGTATATTTTACTTGTCATTACAATTCTTGTGCATAAAGGCTTGAAACAAAGAACAGTGGACTTATGTCAGCCAATTTATGGAATAAAATACATAAAATTAACGAGTTTAAATCTCAATTATCTAAAGCGCTTAGTGATGTAGACAAATTAAAAGAGCTAGCTATATGGGAAAATGGCAAGCTTGAAAATCAAATCGATGCAGAGACACTTCGACGCTATCGAAAGGCGAAGTCCAGGGAAGCTGAAGAACTTAATAAGAAAAAGTAAATTAACGGTTGTGGATAAAATGATATTAAACTCTGAAACTTCTAGAGAGCATTTAAAAGCTGTACTGACGAACGATGAAAACAAAATTGTAAAAGAGTGTAAAACAGCAAGTGAGGAAAAAGCTGAGCGTTTGAAGTATTTGAGAGCACAAGCTGAATTGCTGGAAAAAAAAAAGAAAGAGACAGACGAAAAAATTGCGCTTGAAAAGTATGACCAGCGTCTTCGGTAAGTGAAAAATATTTAATAACTCGATTTGCGTTACAGATATTGATGTATTTTATCGTTTGTAAAGAAACTAATGGTAGGATTGTTAGAGACTCGGGTATATATTCAAACTTTTAGAGAATATCATTTTGGGTTTTCGTAAGCAAATGTATCAGGTTCGAGTCTTGGTACAAACTACAACACTGGAATAGATGTAAAAATAGCTAACAAATCTTAAATAGGATTAAACGCATGTCCTAGACTCGACTGCTAGCCGCAAGTTGTACAATCTATAAAAACTTGTCAAAATGCTTATATCGAAACAGTCAGCACTGAATGTTTGTATATCAATAAATTCAGTCAAAATTATTAACAAAGAGATAACTCAGGTTCTTTCTAATAGTGATATAAATTAAATATTTGTACAAAATAAATGACCTGTAAAACTGAAATCTGACGCCAACCATGCTAAAAGATTAAATTAAAGAAGCATCTAAGAAATAGGAATAAAATCAAATACGATACAGATGAACTGTTAATGAAAATTGGACGTATCAAAGGGTATCTTCGAATACTTTGCATTGGATTCGTGATATGTGACGCTACGTTTCCATGATCTTACAAAACTCTATCAACGTGAGATCCAACAGAGAGGGTTAATAGACTTAACAATTACACCTGCGTTACTAAGAATAAGCTTTAGTGTGATTGTATCGAGATAGCTAACTTATGCTGTTGAAATCTGGACTATTTTATAAAAGGAAGTGTATCAGAATTTTGAAATGTCTAGGCCAGTTTCCTAATTTTTAATGCTCAGCAAAGCAAAACTTATTCGCATGACAATTCTATCAGCTTAGAGGCTTTTTAAAACCCTGGAATACAGTACGCTGATAGTTCCAAACGTGCTTGTTCTCAGGATTCTTTAGTTTCATATTAAACACAATACCTTTTAACCGCTTGATGTAAATACGACGTTTCACATATTTAAACCACATACAGAGATTAAACTACCTTCAAGTTTAAAAATCTTTGCGTGTAAGATAATAACCCAGTGGTCATTAGTGAGATAAACATCCTGAAATTTCCATGAGAAAACTTGAACTGTGGAGTCAGGTCAGTCGAAAGTAAAATCAATAAGCACCAAGTATTTTTAATAATCGTCCAGTTGTACTGCTAACAAACGAAGTTGAACGATGTAGGTGCGTTGGATTTCAAATCTGGTGGATTTGTATTAACCTCATTGCAAGAGACGAGAATTTCTTGAAGAGTTATTGTATCCCAATTAAGTCCCAGAATATGGTGAGACCTCTATGTATTGTTTGGAGGTTTCCGTTATTCTTTGCAGTCGTTTTAGTCATTGGTAAAAACGATCCTTAAACTTTACGAGTGGACTCATTTCGGAGCGCGTTAGGTGGCTTACTACAAGTTTTAAATAATTTTTTACTTTCCAGATAAGATTCGTGATGTAATGACTGATATAGGTTTTCCCGCTTAAAAATCATTTGTATTTCCATCAATAGCTTTTTACAAACATGTTACTTTTGATAGAGAACTCAACAAAAACCCACAAATATGAAAATATATGAACACTAACATGGATGACACGAGTTTGTTGGAAAAACGTGTGCGTAAGGCAAAAATAAATACTTACACTGACATTTTACCTACCACTATGACTCTTTAGAGAAGATAACTTTCAAATAAACAAACAAAGTTAGAACAACTATATTTCGTTCCAATGGGTATCAGAATAAACTGATACTAAGTCGTCATATTAAGCCTAATCAATTCAAACAACTTAATAAGCTTCAATAAACTTTTTTAATGCATAAGTAAACTCATTCTGTTGGACTCCCTGTTGAAAATGTTTTTATTCTAAATATACCGGAGTAACCTCCATATATTGGCGAATTCATTATGAAGGTAAACTATTTTTTAAAATACACTTGTGGAGATAGTCAATATAGACTTATTTTGTAATTATTCACGTTCCCTACAGGGGATTCTTTTTAGTGGCTGATTCTATGTCAAGCCCACATAGGCCATTCTGGCTTCTGAACAGACCAATCTATTCATTCTTCTTAAACCACGTTTTGACCTTGTCACTTATTGCTTATTAATTCTGACATTTTTACATAATCGTATGTGTGTTAATTACTTACCATATTCATCATGTGTCTGTAATTTATTTTTGTGTGACTATAAATATCAATTTACGCTTGGCCCACTTGCCTTCTCCGATCGGCTTAACTCTTCCTTCTTCGTTTTGTTTCACTGATTTTCTGTTCAAATTAATTACTGCATGAAATATGCATATTCAGAATCCATTCTCATATTTGTCCTATTTAATTCCGTTGTTTCCTAACACGACTTATGTTGGTATTAACATACTAGGGTAACTGAGATGTATATTTCAATAACAACCAGCAAACGACCTAATTGGAGTCAGATAAAGTGTCACAAAACACTCAGCAATGTTTTAGAAGAACAAGGAATCTGTTTTAAATTGACTATGTGGTAAAAATAAATAGGTTACTATTCTTCAATATCAAACTTGTAGATTTTACAATATGACTTCTTAAACATAAACCACATGCTAACGGATAAGCAGGTTTGTCTTAAGGTTGGGAGAAGGGTTTAAAACTCAAGTAATTTCAGAGTGTTGGTGAAAAATGAATAATGAAAGTACGTTGAACTTCGTATGTATTTACGATGTCTATATTTAAGTTTGTGAACTTCGGAGTGGTTTCTTCACAGTAAAGTTTTTAAAAAATTGCTACAGATGTGAATATTTATTTCTCGTTACTTCATACTGCGTAATCATGGTTTAAGCCTGGCAGGGAACTTAATATTTTCCAAAATTTTTACCAGAGAAGAATGTGCTGAATTACGCCAGGAATTAAGTAAACGTAGAGCTAAAGAAATCGCGCGTGATCTTTTAATCCAAATCGAAATGAAACAGAAACAAAATCTTCTAGAGAAACGTCAAAATGACTATTTGGATAAGCTCGTATTAACTCACTCAAAGGATATGTCCAATGAAGCTGATACGCAGATGATTGTAGAAGGAAAAAAGTAATTTGTTTTTGAGTTTCTTTATTTTCAGGCGGATCGCAAATGTTTTAAGACAACAGATAGAAAGAAAAGAGCAGGAGAAACTTGTAGAAAAAGCGGAGAAGCTGAAACAAGCAAACGCTTTGGTAAATTAGCTATTATTATTATTATTATTATTATTATTATTATTATTATTATTATTATTATTATTATTATTATTATTACAAATAAGCATTTAGTCAACATGTCAGTTCGATTACTTCATTTAATAGTTAAAGTTTTCTTAAAAATCCAGCTGAAATCCCGTTCAAAGTAAACAGGTAGTTGAACGTTCACCACATTAGATTTAAGTACTCAGTGAGAAAGATATCTGCAAATTAGTATTCTTTTTCACAACGGTTTATCAGTTATAAGTATACTGAATATCAACATTTAGTAAGCAAACATCCTGATAATAGTTGTTTGTGCAAACTACGTATTTCAGGTTCTTTATACGTTACAATTCATTAGTAGCACTTAAAATGATTAGATATTCAAGTTTAAATGATTTATTGCAAAGGGTTATTTATGTAAACAAAATAATGTTTCACTGAAGGAAATTTTTTGTATGATACCATTTACGAGAGCTGCACAATTGAATTTATAGTTTTTTTCATACATAAAGTCCATAATAAAAATTGGGAGCTACTGAGTCATTAACAACAGTTCAAATTATTCAATCAGTCGATTATATTCATACTGGAGTCATAGATTTATGCAGGATTTCACTCTCCAGATCAGAAGACTAATAGGTTCATTTCAGATATTGATGTACAGAAAGCCAATTCGGAGTGGGGAATATACTTATTTCCAAAGTTGGGTTTTGCAGAGTAGGAAGAAAAATCTAGTAAATTCTCTATCTTTGTGAGCTTGAGGAATATGTACAGAAGACACGATTAACGTGAAATAGGAAAAAACCAACAAATATTTATAGATTTCTTCTAAAGTTCATTGATAGCAACCTGAAGCCAGAATAGTTAATTGGGAGAATCCCTACCATCCATTGAGTTCAGAGGAGATACAGATGCGGAGACATTACTAACTTTATTATTCGAATCATGGAAGACGACTTTTTATCCAAATGAGATACAAATTGTATTTTTATTATAACGGAAAGAGTATCGGAGAAGTCAGAACTCTTGGGACTACTTTTAGGATTATCATTGTTTGTATTTTTATTTTATAAGTACTAAATAACTAGACCATTATGTTTCTACATTTCGTTTACTGTGAGCTTCCATTTGATTCACTGGTCATTACTATGTTTTATTATTCCAAAATCATTACTAATCGATTATTCATAGTTTGCTCCGTTCATAGCCACTTTCTATCAGTTCGTTAAACAGCTATGATTTCCTGCGTTAAGGTGCGATGTAGTCTAGTTAGTCATGTACATAGGCTAATGAGTACCTGAGGTAGCTGCTGAACTGGTTTATTGAAATATAATATGTAGGCTTGTCTGCAGTCTTCTCTTTGGACTGAAGGCTTGGGACAGAAGACAATCTTGAGTATCGGCAGACTAATGAGAGTTATCCTTACATTGGCTGAGATTATTTATATCGGCCAGAGTATACCATTGGCTGAGATCAACGGCACCAGGCTATGGTTGTCTTTTTATAAACGTGTTTTCTATTCTCTATTTTTCTATATTCACCAAATGGAAAGTTAACTTTCAGATCTTTGTTATATAGCCTATTTTATAAATTGCTTTTGACACGTGTTCGTTCATATTTCTAGTCTTATAATCATTCAGTGAATAACCTTTTGTATCTCATTTATATATTTTATTTTGATGACTGTTTCCCTTCAAATTTCAATAAATCCTTAGTGCCTCTTTTAATGATTTAATAATCCCCAAGTTTTATCATCGACCACTATATATGGAAAGTAACTGTAAAATCGATTGTACAGCTCTTGCAAATGATATCGTTCAAAAGAAAATCTCCTTCACTAAAACGTTTTAATTTTGTCTAGTTGTTCAGAGGATTTCTTTCGTTGATTGTTTATTTTCTTATTTAAAGTTGGCCAAACATTCAAATCATCTAAATGATTTCAAAAGATGCTGTTTACCAATCAAAATTACGGGGTACCGTCTGTTTACTTTGATAAATAAATGAACATTATAGATTATTTATGGGCCATATTAGGCTTTTATACTGGTTTTCCATACAGTCCCGACCGTTGCTGTTACTTTGACGTGGTGGTCGGGTTTGCCTGTCGTGATGAACCAATCGAGCTATACTGGCTAGAACAATCGTTCTTGAAGGTCCCACCATACCAGACAGGTCGGTTGAAGAGCGGTAAGACTAAAAGCAACAAACTCAAGGTCCGAAGGCGAAGTCGTACTGCTGACTGTAAAGAGGTGTGACGCAGTAAGGTGTTTCTTTCAGACAACCAGCACAAAACAGCGATGCTGCCTTTCCACAAGGAGGGATGGGGTTAGAAAACGTCGATCATAAAGATGCACACCTCGCCTTACCCCACGGATATCCATCTATGGCAGTAAGGTCCCAACAAGTACGGAGCTAACAAGAGAATTACAAAAAGGTCGTATATGACCCACCCCAAGCAGTTGTCTCTTGGGCACTGAGGTCACACTCACTCCCAACTTGATTTCCTTTCAGGTACCTCCAGAGGAACCCTTCCACGGTGTGGGCAACCAGGAAGTGATAACTCCCCTCATACCCCTAACAGAACTCAAGATCACTCTATTCATAATCAGTCATGGAGAAAATATAGTTGTTCACTACAATCAATCCTATGCAAACCAAAGGATGAAATAACAAAGGAAAACAAATCAATTATCATCTAAAAAGTAAATTATGCCAACTGCGAAAAACACTACACCAAACAAAGTGGATTCCCCCTTCACCTACATGAACATCAATTAGCAGTCAAACGCTATGATGCCTCCTCACTTATATCAATACACGCGGACACTCATTCGATTGGAAAAATGTGAAAATCTTGGACGGAGGAAATTCCAGAAAACCAGAGAATTTTTAGAAGCCTGGCACTCAGGTCAATCAGCAATCAACAAGCATACTGAAATCAATCCAATTTATCAGCCAATCAGGAAAATTCATAATCACTCTCCCTCTTCAATTCCTATTATGTCAACTTTCAACTCTATATTCCCTCCTCAAGTGTCACCATAGCCAACGATTCTAGTGAGAAAAACACTGTGCCAGGTCTAGTGAAACCTTGCTCCTAATTACACATTGGAGCCTTCAGCGTACTCACCCTATTTCAAGTAGGCTAGCAGGCCTCCTTGGTCTAAACCCTAGAATCTCGTACCATTGATATATGCTGTGTCTCTGAAACACGCATACAGGATCCCAATGTGGTCATTCACTTGACCTCACCTCACCAAAACGGAGAACTGACGACACATACCTTCTGTTTATCTGGCGACCTGATGGCTAGTTCTCGTGGACTGGCAGGTGTAGGCATAGCACGAGAGCAGAGCAAGCACTATTGGAATGGATCCCAGTTAGCAATCGCCTATTTGTTGTTCGACTAAACGGCTCCGTAAGAACGCGGAAGGATAGGGACACACGTCGTTGCCTTTTCGTTGTTTCTAAATACGCCCCACTGACTGTAGCCCAGATGAAGTAAGAGATGACTTATGCAGAAAGCTTTCTGAACTTCTTCAAAAAGCTAAACGCTCAGACATAGTACTCGTAGGAAATGATTTTAATACCCAGGTAGGTAGCTTAAACAAAACAGAATGACATTTAGGTGAGTATTTTAGTGTTCCGGCTCAGCAGACAGGTAATGGTGATCGTCTGCTGCAACTGTGCTCAAACAATCGTTTATTTTTAATAAACACTAATTTTAAGCATAAGGAAAGACATCGTCTAGCATGGCAACCTAGTGCACCAAACCAACGATGGAATCAAATAGACCATATTGCTATCAGTCACCGTTGGAGAGGCTCGATAGAAGATTGTCGCTCGTTCTGGAATACGTTGTGTTGGTCAGTATTCAATATAATCCCTAAACTTCGTATACAGTTCGTCTTGATAACCATCACTAGATAACGCCCCAACGGTGTATACATCAGAAGGCCAATACGAAGTGTTGATCAAGTTTATGATTGCACCACGCATAGATAACCAAAATTACAGGTACGCTAAGCAAGCATGAAATAGTAGTGCCGAAAAGTAAGCGAACGAAGCGAGTCGAATGAGCAAGTATGCGAGGAGTCAATGAACAGAATTAAAATGTACATATATATACATAGGAAATCAACTAAGCGACTAATAGTAAGGCCAGCAGAATGAATGTATGCGTAGGCAGTAAGCAATACTCAGCTATACATATTCATACAAGTGCAACAATAATAAAGGTACAATAGTATAGATAATTTATTGTACGAATGATTCTGTCCGTTAAATAAGTTAACAAAAGGGCTCAACCAGATTAAATGTGAACAAGCCCAATTTGACGTGAGCTGCTGTAGCCTGCTTGGACTCCGATCATGCTCTGATACGAGCCCGCATTTGTTGGCGCCTCTCTGAACGCAGAAAGTCCACATTAAGAAGACTCATTATAGTTGAACTCAGTAAAGGGGCAACCAAAAGTAGATTCTAGGAACAACTGAAGTCACACTTAGGTAGTTCTAAAAACTAGGCTCACCCAAATGTTGCTCGGAAAGATATACGAACAGCTGTGGAAACACCGAAAGGTTACGAAAAACCAATGGATCTCTACTAAGCCTATTGCACTGATAGATTCTCGTAAACTCATATCATCAGCCTCTGGACACGACAAAGGCAAATCAGACCTAGGTTAACCAAAAGTCTAAGGAACAACCGTGGGCAGTGGTGGGCAACGAAAGCAAAATAGATGGAAAAGGCATCAGCTGTACGTGACAAAAGACAGCTTTACAGACTAATAAAAGAAACTGGAATTAAGAAGTCGTTCGTGAGACGATCTCAGAAAAAGACGACGCTTATCAGCTCTCATCTCAGACGTTTAGAACGATGGGCGAAACACTTTAAGGAGCAGTTCAGCTGACCTTCAGCTACTCTACAACTATCTACCATTCCCAAACAGCCTGAATGGAACATTGAAGTAGGTCTCTCAACTCTAGCTGAAGTCCAAAAAGCTATAGCTAATCTGAACGAGGAAGTGCAGCTGGTCCAGATGGATTGGCTCCAGATGTCTTTAAGGATGGTAGTCCAGTTTCAGCGATCAGGTTTGCTAATATTTTAGCTAAAATCTTGGAATTGGTTGTAGTCTCATGTGCTGGTCGCAATCACTAATCATCCAAATATGTAAGAATCAAAATCACCTTGTGATAACCATAAAGAAACTAGTTTAACTAATATAGCATTTAAAATACTAGCCTTAATAATTATCGAGCACTTAGCAATGACTTGTGAACTGCAAACACGAGGAAATCAGGCTGGTTTCAGAACTGGTCGTGGCTGTATCGACCACATATTCACCATTCGTCAGGTTCTACAACACAGGCATGCTTATTAGCGTCCGACAATGATAGTTGTTCTTGGCTTAAAAGCAACTCAAGCTGCCAGCTTTGGGGAAATTTTGGGGTTTGCGTCTTATTTCCCCAAAATGGACCACATTTTCCCCAAAGTTGGCAGCTTGGGAACATTTGACTCTGTAAACGAGAGGTTCTATGGCAGTGTTTGTCCTTGAAAGGTGTACCTCAGAAGCACATAAACCTTGTGAAGGCTCTCTACTTGAACACTACCAGTCGAATCAGAACCTATGACAAACTGACATCTGATTTTGAAACTTAAAGTGATGTCTGTCAAGGATGTCCAATATCATAGACCTACTGCTGAAAATAACGTTCTCTTCGTCTGAATTTTCGGGCATTGGTCTCCTTCCAGGAGATCCACTTATTGACTTGGAACACACAGTCCTGTTTGATGAAGACGTTGATAAAATGCAGTTTCTTAGTAGTACTGAGCATTAACGCCAGGATGTTTGGGATGCGTTCCTTCCTCTTTAAATAGGAACAGTTGCTTCAGGAATAGCCTGCGTCAACATCTGAACTGATGATAGGGAGTGAATTAGTCGAACACGTCGACAACCCCACTTATCTTGGAATTCTGATCGGGTCGGTGTCTGATGGGTCGGTGTCTGATGAAATCTCAGCACGGATTCGAAAAGCTCTTTTGGCTTTTTTTCAACTTACGTCACATATGACGAAGGCGAGATATCTGTCTATTAATAGAAGGACGAGTATACTACGCAGCAGTTCGTTCTGTTCTACTTTATGACTGCGAAACGTGGCCATTAAGAGTAGAAGGTACTCGTGAGTTAGTAGTATTCGATCACAGATGTCTTAGAAATATTGCTCGCATCTGCTGGGATCACCAGATAAGCAATAGTGAAGTTAAACGCAGAGTATTAGGGAATGATGGTAAGCCAAGTGATTTTTTAAATCTTCATCGACTGAGGTGGTTGGGCCACTGTTACGTATGCCTGGACACCGATTACCACGACTCGCAATGCTGACTAGCGTTGGGGATGGCTGGAAGAAAGTTAAGGGCGGCCAAACCAAGACATGGCATCAGTGCTTGAAGTCACTAACTTCTGGTCTGAGCCATGTTGGTAGATGCAGGCTACTTGGTCGGGGTCCGCGTGACCATCATAACCAATGGCTGGAGACTGTGACATGGCTCAGAATCGATCAAATTAGCGTAGATGTATACACCTTTTGTCTTCCCTTAAACCGTGAGATAAAAATTACTTTATACTTCACTTCCTACGAACTAATTCTTTCTTCCTGAAATATATCCTTTTATGCAATCTTTATTTTATATATTGCTACCATGGAAGTGATTACTTCTATGAATTTGGTGTGCTAATTAGGTGTGGCTACTCGGACCGGTGCATATATGTGCCTGGTCCTACGTTGTAGCTGACTGAATGACTTCCCATACAGTACCTTACTATTCTGATGGTTTTGTCAGCTTGTACTATATACTGAGCAGCCGTGTAGAAGTCAGCTGAATTTTAGTAGACTTAGCAATTACAAATTTTACTACCTATTGCTTCCGATCCAGTGTACACTGACGTAAATAAATATTGCGTCCCTCTGGAAATAATGTCTTCTGTTTATCATAACCTGTTAGGAAGAATTAAATAAGCAACTGAAGCAAGAAAAAGAAGATGAGGTAACAAAAAAGAAATTAAGGTTCTCTAAGGTGAAATTGGACTTGAACAAGTGTTTACAGGAAAAACTATTAAGGAAATCAGAAGAACGCAACCAAGAAGCTCAGTACGACAATTTACTAACCCTTTTAAACCAACAAGTAGATAAAGAGAGGAGTGGGAAGCAGAGGGACAAGGTAATGTATTCCAGGAAATGTATTTTTACATATTTTTATTGACAATGAATAACAAAGTTGTTTAGGTGTTTATAAACTAGGTATATAAAATCAAAAACGTTTGTTACTAAATAAGTCAAAAAAATATGACTATTTCTAGCACATTTACAAAGTTTATGAAACGTAAACGTTAGTGGTGTTTGGTATTGTATATTATTATTAACGTTTAATTTATTGTCGAAATCCATTTCGCTTCATAAATTCTAGGCAGTGAATGTACTTGCAAAGAGATAAGTTTGTTTCATAAATACTTAACACTGATGTGGTGGTAGAACATTTAGACGCTGCTATGTTTTGTCAGCTAAACATTTTTGTATATTGGGAAGATAGTCTAGCACCTTGTATTAAAACTGCATGTATTTAGAATTCTCTGATAAACAATGTGTAATAACACTATGTACCTCGATCAATATTACAACTCAACGTCCAAAAATATAGCTATCGGTTAATAACTTTTATCACATGATTGCTAATACAGATTAGGTAAAATCACCATCACATTAATTGTTTACACTTCATGAACTGATTTTAACTTTCTTATCGTTAGCTCAGATCCATTCCCATCATAACTGTTGGACTTATTTACTTACCTTCCCGGCAAATTAACTGGATGTTCTCACACCAAAAATCTTTCCCAGTTGTTTCTAAATTCAACAAATCAGTGATCTTTAGAGACCGTCTATTGTAGGTTTGGGAAAATCCGGTTCGTGATTCATTATTTATACACTACTAGGCGTAGTCGGTAGTCAAACACTACTAATTTTGGCTTGTTATGACAATTCTATTCGTTTTCTATTGATTTCTTTATTCTTTGTAATTACCACAGACGTTTTGTATCTTAGTCAGAGAGAAATATGAAATTCGGTGTCGATGGTGTTCTAATGTTTAGCCCAGATTCTGTATGGTCAATGTCTTATGCAAATGGAAGAAAATCTTGCAGCAAATTCCAGGGGGACCTTACCTCTTAAGTAGTATCATAATGTAAACAAGACCGGAAATTAATTATTGTGTTAGCAAACTATTTTATTTGATTACTGAAGACAACGTGCTGAATGAGAGGTGTTTCTTTTCTTTAAAGTATGATTACAAATCGCTAACCTGACAATGTGAAGGTAATCAGAAATAGGATTTACTGAAAAAAAATTTCCTTGGTTTTAAATAGCCCAAATAAAAAAACCAATTCAATCATTCGACTTTTAGGTTACTTTAAAGAAAGAAACGTTACAGTATTTAGAGCATGTTCGTAATTCAAAAGAAGCCGAAAAGATGTATGAGGAAGAAATTAGCAGAAGTATTGACGAACATATTGCAAAGCAACAAAATCTTGGTCACCATAAGAAAATGCAGCTTCTAGTAGCTAGAGAAAATTTGAAAAATGATGTAAACGAAGTATGTCGACAACAAATAATGGAAAAAAGTTAGTTGTATGTCTTTATATAATATTTTATTATATTATCCCAAAATGGTATTAGATAAATATTTGTTAATTTGTCTATTGTGTGCCTTAAAATATCCTTAGAATGTTTGTAAATGTGCAGAAACGTTTTCTAGATTCAACAAATATTGACAACTACTCCATGATATTGCCATCAGTTTCAAGCTTCCTGGTAAAAGTAACATGTTGGTTACAAATCGTATTGCAAAAATAATATCAGTGGATCTAGGATGACACAGGTTTCATTGAGTAGGAATAATAATCCCAATGGATAAACGTCTGAGTTTTTTTGTTAAGTCCTTGAGAAAATGGAACCATTAATTATCCAGGGTACTGGTGACTCACTATTTGTTTTGGAAAACATAAATGACTGCACTAGTTTAGCGTTCATTTAAAATATAGCCAAAATATGAAAAACTATGGTTACAGATTTTACTAAATATCTGGCTAAAAGGTATCAAATCTATTTCAGTCACAACACTTCTACGTATTTTATGAATAAAAATAGGTATGCATCTTCTGTCTCAAGTGATCAATTTGTAGGACGTGTAAAATATCACTGGACCCTTGTTGAATTGTCTATGAAGCTGAACTTATCCCTACCTTGGAGGACTTGTCAATGATTAGGTTGTTTGACGACCTACATTCAAGTCAAATATAGACAACTAGGGTTGACCATTACAAACTACAGTACTAATATAAGCAGTAGTCGATTGCTTCTCGTCCAGATTCATACTCTATGTGTCTAAGCAAAAGGTTTAAGTGGCAAGACTTTATTCGCTTTCTGAATCTTCCTATACAAGCTGAATAGCCGTAAAGACGACACAGATATACAGGATTCTACAATGCTCTTGTCTGTATCACTTTTATAATTTAAAGATATCAACCCAGACAAATCAGAAGTCAGAGATGGATGCGTTCAAAGATACATCTGTAAGGTTTTCGAGACGTGGAGAACCGTTTGATCTAAGCTGGCTAGTAATTGCAAGGGATCCGTAGCACGACGTACCCACTCGTGATCGGGTGTGGGTGCGCTTTTAGCTAGGGTGTGTTCAGTAAAACTACTGAGGCCAGAATCAATGTCGAAGACTCACGGAGCTCTTTATTTTGAGGATTCATTTACTGCTACAGCCGGACCGCCAAGTTAGGTGAAGTCAAGCTAAACAGTTATTGCACATTGTGAATCCAACGTAAGATTGCGTACTTTGCGCAGTCACACTATTCATGTACAACCCCAGGATATTAACACCCACACTAAATCTCATCCAGCTAATGAATATGGGATGACACCATTTTGAACTTGAAATACGGCCTGTGACTGAGATCGTACTATCACTAGATATTCGGTCGATACTTTATATATAAACTGAATCAATTTACACCAGATACACGATATACGTCCAAAAATAGGAAGCCATAGTAAGAGCTAAACAATTCTTTACTCAACACAATTACAAGCAATCAATAGTCAGTGATTGCATCAGTCAGTCAGTCAGTCAGTAACAACGTAGAACTTTGTACGTACGTACATCAGTTCGAGTTGCCACACCACATTAGCACAGAGATGCAGTTGTCGATTCAAATCCCGTAGTGGTAGAGGTAATAAGAGTATAAGCAGTAATCGGGAAGATTAGGGTTTGGAGATGTTATTTAAAGAGTATAATCCAGTGAAATAAATTTAAAAAGAGGAAAAAAGGGACATGAAGAATTCAGAAGATTAGAATTTGAGAGAACACAGAGAGTGGATGCACCTGCGCCACTGCAAACCATTTTGAGCCATGTCATTCAGGGTCTCTAACCATCGGTTGCTATCATCTCGTGGTCCCCAACCAGGTAGTCTACACCTACCAACATGACTCAGTCCACTTGTCAGTGACTTCATGGACTTGTGCCATGTTTTGGTTTGGCCGCCCCTAGCTTTCTTCCAACCTACTCCTATACCACTGAACATAGCACGTCGAGGCAGTCGGTCGTTGGGCATACGTAACACGTGTCCCAGCCATCTCAACTGAAGTTCCACTACTTCATCAATTGATTTGCCATCCTTACCTAGTACCCGTTTCCTAACAACTGTGTTACTTACTCGATGGTCCCATGATATACGAGCAAGGTTTCGAAGACACCTATGATCGAATACTAGTAACCTACGAATATCCTCTACTCTTACCGGCCATATTTCACTGCCATAAAGTAGGACGGGACGAACTGCTGCGCAGTAAACACGTCCTTTGGTTGATAGACGGATATCTCGCCTACGCCATAAATGACGCAAGTTGGCAGAAGCTAGTCGAGCCTTCTGTATCTGTGCTGAGATTTCGTCACACACCAGACCACAAGGGCTGATGAGACTTCCAAGTGAAGCGATCGACACGCTCAATTACTTCACTCCCTATCACTAGTTCGGGTGTCGATGTAACTCAATCCCGAAGCAACATTTTGCATTTCGAGGGGAAGAATCGCGTCCCGAACATGCTTGCATTGTTGCTTAGAGTGGTCAGAAGACTCTGCATTTTGTCAGCGTCTTCGCCAAATAAAACTATGTCATCTGCATATTCTAAGTCAACAAGTGAACATCCCGGTAGAAGTTCAACCCCTGTAAATTTAGATGAGGAGAGTGTTATCTCTAAAAGTACGTCGACCACAAAGTTGAGCAAGAATGAGGAGAGTGGGCAGCCCTGACGAACACCACTTAAGGTAATCAATTCTGGTGACAGCTCTCACTCTACCAGTTGTGTTCAAATAGAGAGCCTTTATAAGGTCAATGTACTTCTTTGGTACTCCTTTCAGTGACAAACACTGCCATAGAACCTCACGATCAACAGAGTCGAATGCCGCCTTAAGGTCGAGAAATACTACCATTGTGGGGCGTCTGAATGTGTGTCTGTGTTCTAGAACCTGACGTATTGTGAATATCTGGTCTATACAACCACGTCCAGGTCGAAAACCAGCCTGATTTTCTCTAGTCTGTTCTTCACGAGCTTTGGTTAGGCGTCGAAGCATTATTGAAGCTAATATTTTAGACACTATATTTGTCAAACTGATTCCTCTGTGATTATCACAAGAGGACTTTTGTACTTTCTTATAGACTGGCACAATCAGTGATTGAGACCAGTCAGATGGGATTACGTCCAGTTCTCAAATTCTACCTAAGACCTCGGTTAATCTCGTTGCTAATACTGGACCGCCATCCTTAAAAATCTCAGGAGTAAACCTGTCAGGGCCTGCTGCTCTCCCTCGTTTCAGATTTCCTATGGCTTTTTCAAATTCATAAGGAGTCGGATGATCTACACTAACTTGCCATTCAGGTTGACTAGAGATCGTTAGAAACCGAAGTGTGGCTGAAGGCCAGTTGAACTGATCCCTAAAGTGTTCTGCCCATCGATCCAATCTCCTGGATTGAGAATGAATAATATGTCCATCTTTCTCTGAGATTGTTTCGCTAACGGTCGGGTTCCTAATTCCGGTTTCCTTAACGAGTCTGAACAATTGTCTGCTATTACTTATTGCTACTGCCTTTTCCATCTCTCTTGCTTTCGCTACCCACCACTGTTCGCGATCATTGCGTAGACTTCTTGTCAGCTTGCGCTTAAGCTAACTCCGCTCCTCATTATGTTCAGAGCCAGGTGGAATGAGTTTCTGAGCATCTATCAGTGTGATAGATGCTGCTGAGATCCAGTATTGCTTCCTAACCTTATGGTTTACCTTACTAGCAGATATCACTGCTGTTTCCACAGCTTTTCGGATATCATTCCATGCTGCATCGGGGTGGGCATCACATACATGACTGCCTAACTGTTTTCCTAGTTGTTCCTGAAATATACTCTTAGCTTGACTATTATTAAGTAGGCCCGTAAGAGGTTTCCTTGCAGCGTCTTTCCTACGTCCAGTAAGACGCAAGCAAATACGCGCTCGTACTAGAGCATGATCTGAATCTAGGCATGTGCTCCAGAATGAGCGACAGTCTTCTATTGAGCCCCTCCATCGGTGGCTGATAGCGATGTGATCTATTTGGGTCCAACGTTGGGACGAATTAGGGGGTCGCCATGTTAAAAAATGTTTCTCCTTATGCTTAAAGTTAGTATTTGCAAGGAACAGGCGGTTATCTGAGCATAGCTGCAACAGACGGTCGCCATTATCTGTTCTTTGAGCCACGATGCTATAAGATCCACCTAGGTGTCTTTCCCTATCGCTTAGTTTACCTACTTGAGCAATAAAGTCACCGGACACTATTACTACATCCGAGCGCCTAGCTTTTCGGAGAAGATCGTAGAGCTTTCTGTAAAACTCATCTTTTGCATCATCTGTGCTGCAGTCAGTGGGAGAATAGGCAGAGACGACGAAGAGGCAATGACGAGTGTCCCTATCTTTCCAGATTCTTACTGTTCCGTTCAGTCGGACAGCGCACGACTGTCTACTGGGATCCAGTCTAAGAGAGCTTGTTCTGCCCTAGGACTCAATGCTAAACCTACGCCGGCGAGTCCACGAGAAGCAGAATCAGGGCTCCCAGATACACGAAGCGTAAATCGAGTCGGTTCTTTATTTTGGCATGGTGAGGTCAAATGAATGATGCTACTTGGATCCTGTATGCGCGTTTCGGAGACGCAGCACACGTCGATGGCGCAAGATTCTAAAGTCCTAGCTAAGGAAGCCTGTTGTCCTATTTGGCATAGTGTTCAGACGTTAAAAGCTCCTACGTGTAGTTTAGAGCGTGGTTTCAGGAGACCAGGAATAACGTTCCGCGTACATGAATCGTTTGCTCGAGCGGTGGGAGGTGATAAAGAGACGTGAGGAGGGTTAGTTATGGAAATAAGAGAGATATTAGGAGGTGTAGGAAGGATTTGAATGTGACCAACGTGGTCTCGTGTGCTGTTACGGGTATGAGGGCTGATGTCACTTCCCGGCTGCCCACACCGTGGAAGGGTATTTCTTGAGGAACCTGAAAAGGAAATTGGATTAGTGTTGGTCTTAAAGACCTGGGAGCGTGACCGTAGAGCCCAAGGGACAACTGCTTGAGGCCGGTCTCGCACGGCCTTTTTGTGTAAGTTTTTCGACGTGTTAGCTCCGTTCTTCAAAGGGCCTTACCGCCGGAGACGGAAATCCGTGAGGTAAGGTGGGGTGTGACATTTTTAGTGTCGACCTTTTCTAACCCACCCTCCTTGTGGGAAGGCAGCATCGCTGTCATGCTGGTTGTTCGAGGGAAACACCTTACTGCTGTCACACCTCTCTACAGTCAGCAGTAGGACTTCGCCCTCAGACCTTGAGTTGCTGCTTTTAGTCTTACCGTTCACCAATCAACCTGCTTGGCATGGTAGAACCTACAGGAACATATGTTCTAGCCAATATAGCTCGGTTTGGTCATTACGATAGGCAAGCCCGACCACCGCGTCAAGGTAGCATCGTCGGTCGGGCAGTGATTGCATAGTAAAATTAACAGTAGGAAGGAGACCACATATTTGATAGTTGGTAATCTTAGTGTCTGTTTGCTCTCATTGGCCAATCACATTTTACTTCCGCTAGTCACACGCTAAAGGTGTGATCTGGTTTGAAATACTATTCGAGCTGATATTAGAAGACATCTTCTTATATCATTATCGAAATTCATCAAGGGGACTAATTGTTTTAATGTCTTATTATTTGTTTTTTTTTCAGGAAAAAGGCAGGATGAAGAAAAACTTGAACACATAGAAGAAGTGAAACAACTGAACGAAGTTATTGGACGAATGAAGTTAGATTCTAAGTATGAGCTGCAGTTGCGACGCCAGAATGTTGAGACATATCGTAACGCCTTAGAACGACAAATCGCTGACCAGCGAACTAGATATCAACAACTAATAGCTGACAATGCACGGGAGTTTGAGAAGAATAAGAAAACAGAGGAACAGCTCACCGAACTTGTGCATAATATCGTTAATTCAAATGAAACTGACTACAACAGACATCCATGGCAAAAACTGTTGGCTACTGGTCACTGGTCTATTCCAGTGTGGGATGGTGAACCTCAAATATCGAAATTTGCAAGTGCAAGGTATTAAACCAGAAAATTAATATTATCCAACGTATTTGACTGTTTTCATAATAAATCTAAGAGGAATTATTACTATTGCCGTTGTAATTGAAACATGAAAACCACGTGATTTTACTAAAGCATCATTGAGTAATTTGCTCAATGAAAATGAAAAAAGATCACTTATTCTATATGCTGCTTTCCATACCTATAAATGGTTGGTCACTATGTTATAGGTGAAGTATCGACCGAATATCTAGTGATAGTACGATCTCAGTCACAGGCCGTATTTCAAGTTCAAAATGGTGTCATCCCATATTCATTAGCTGGATGAGATTTAGTGTGGGTGTTAATATCCTGGGGTTGTACATGAATAGTGTGACTGCGCAAAGTACGCAATCTTACGTTGGATTCACAATGTGCAATAACTGTTTAGCTTGACTTCACCTAACTTGGCGGTCCGGCTGTAGCAGTAAATGAATCCTCAAAATAAAGAGCTCCGTGAGTCTTCGACATTGATTCTGGCCTCAGTAGTTTTACTGAACACACCCTAGCTAAAAGCGCACCCACACCCGATCACGAGTGGGTACGTCGTGCTACGGATCCCTTGCAACTACTAGCCAGCTTAGATCAAACGGTTCTCCACGTCTCGAAAACCTTACAGATGTATCTTTGAACGCATCCATCTCTGACTTCTGATTTGTCTGGGTTGATATCTTTAAATTATAAAAGCGATACAGACAAGAGCATTGTAGAATCCTGTATATTATTTAAGGCCTCTGACTTTCCCTCGTTTTATATTAGTTAGATAATTTTCAACCCCCTCAAGTCATTTTTGTATCCGGAGAATCTTTTGTGTTTGGTATTTAAGATATGATACCTTCTGAGTGAATAAAATGCGTTTGGATCAAGTAGAAATATTTTTGGGGTACTATCTGAACTATTGCATCTTCAAAAACTGTGTTTTGGAAGAGAAAAGCTTTATTTTAAATCCATATTCAGAATATTATATCGGTGGCCTACTCAAGTTAGTCGAGAATGGTGCGACGAACCAGCTAACGTCGAAGTCACAATTCGTGGTCAGCACCTTACGTGGACTACCCCCATTGACGTAACAAGGCACTGTAGATGCTTTGAAAACTGTACAACACAGAGGACGTTATTACAGAAATACATTAGTTAAGGTAGATACAAGCGAAAGTAAGATCACTACCGCATAGGCCAGTCCATGGTGTAACACATGTAATCAGCAGTCACTGATAGGCGGGAAGACCTAAAATCACAACACACACAATGTTAACCGAGCACTTCATACCAGAGAGAACACAGAATGGAAACCACCAGTTGTTCGTATGAAAATTAAAATTTGCGGGTTATGTACAGAAGGGAGAGCTAGTTTACAAAACAGTCTAATGAGTCATCCTGAATGTTCAGTGCATGCGGAGCTTGCTCTTCTTCTAAAGCATTTACTCTCGGTTGCCCTGCAATAGAAAAGGAAACAGAATACATCAACAACACCGTACACGATGACCTTAAATACCGTTACAATGGCGTACGATTAACTGGTGCGCGTTGAATGTCATCGACCTTGACGAGAACAACGATTTGTCGACATTCAGTGACCCAACTGCCGGAGGAGTTGGATAGGGCTCAGTGAAATTTCACTGTCCCTTCTGTACCACTTATTCTTAAGGTTTAGTTACTTTGTTATTCAATACAGAAATCGTGGAATAGTTTACCTATTTCATTCGATACTCAACTATCTGATCTGAATTTACTGAACCTAGTAATAAGTTTTTGATTAATAATTGATTAAGTACATTGAGTGATCATCTAACCACGCGTATGCACCACAGCTTGAGGCCCCTTGTCCTTGGCGCTTTCATCCAGCAAGATGAAGCTTTTCTTTTATCGACATATAATCACTATAATTTAACAAAGACTAAGTCTCAAAGTCATTGTATGTACATCTGTCTCATTTCCTGACATTTCGAGTTGCAAGTGATTTTGCTACATTTGATTCCCAGTATATCTTAATTCTTCCAAATAAGGCTACTAAGTTTCTCGTTCCTACGTATTGTTCCATATTTAAGTTAAGCTACTTTTACTGATATACCCACGTTGGATCTGATATTGTAACTCAGTAAACGTCAGGTAGCTCAAGACTGCCGCACAATCTCCTCACAGTTTTCCTATCCTACATTAATTTTTGCAGTTCATATTATACGTTTCCAAGTTCAAACACTATATGTCATGCTTTCCTTAGATATCATACATCGTCTTTTCATAAATTACTATGATATACGGATACGCCGTTCAACTAATAAAGGTCTTACGTTTGTTAAGCCTTAAAACTATCACTTAAACGGATGACCAAAAACATTATCAACTCCAAAGTGGTGTGACTCTGTTCTTGTCAATGTTCCACTAGTTTAATGCTTTCATATTCATTTTATTAACTCACTTCAGTGTTGATCTCGTTGCTAATTGTCTTATTGTTGGGTATCACATCCCCGTATCGTTCCACTTACTCCATTATACACCTATCAATCATCATGTTTTCCTGATAACTAATACTTTATCCGAAAAATCATACGTTGTCACGTAGAAATTTACAACACTGCATCGATGTTCAACCCGCAGCCCGTAAGCCATAATCGTTTGATATACCTAAGACATGGTACTTGAAGAAATAGTTTTCATAATTAGGTATAAAAGAAAAAGCCTTGAGTAGAACATAATCTATTCAACGATCACCCTGAAATAGCCTAGCATCGAAAAATTGAGAAAAGGTGATTTCATTGATCACTAGAGGTTAGTTATTAGCAAATTAAATTCATCCGTGCTTGTGTAAGAGATAATTTTTTTGTCTCCGGCTCTCTATAATTGGATGCGAGGCGACTATTTAATGAAACTTAGGTTGTTCTCTCATGCTTGCTATTTCTCAAACTCACGTTTTGAATCGCTTTAGCTATGATATACTACTAAGATAACATAGTACATTCTAATACCGACTTTTATTCTACGACTAAAATGCTGACATTTGGTCACAGAAATAGTAAACAAATAATAAAGAATGTGCTAAAAATATTAGCGTTTTAAAACACTTCACATCCATATGATGATTTATGGAATTTATTGAGTAGGTTTATGGATTTCTTATTCAGTCTTCGCCCTCCTACTCAGAATCATTTCACTTCGTTACAATTTGCAGTTTATTATTAACTGTTTTGCAATTATTCCGCAGATTTACGAACTATAGTTTAGTGTCAGTAATTAGTATGAGCCTGACACAATAATCAGGAATACACCTGTTTCTGCATTGCAAACATTTAAGGATCGTTTATGATTAAAATAGATTCTCTCAGCCACTGGACTTCTCTCTTTTGTTTTAAGCAACAGATTTGCAGTTATGTAGCTTCTACCATATACGAGTCGTGTCCCCAATGTAGGCAACCGCCTCTATCGTACCTAATAACAAGCGCTAGTGTTCTATCTACAACTATGGACATTTCATTACTCAAGCATATCGAATTATTAACGTATATATTTTTATGTAAGTGATGGTTTCACAAAATGTGTATCAATCTGTCATTAGGAACATCTAAACTTTGCTGAAAACCAGCTTCATCCTGACTGTGTAGAGAATGAACTTTTCAGATAAAGTATTTGGGTTTCTAATTCTGATAAAGAAGTTGTCAAGTGCTGGTGTTCCCTCATTGAGTTTGATATTATATGAAGAGGACACTGTGAATTACAGATATTGTTAGCTCAGTTCTTACCCTTGACTGAAGTGTTGAAACTCTGGTGGTTAACATTCCTGATGAGGAAAACACCCAGTCTACAGTGTAGCAGCAAATAAATCCCCAAAATATATAGCTCTGTCAGTCTTCGACATTAGATGCTGACCACATTAGTTTTAGTGGGCTCACATAGCTGAAGGCGATCGGTCACACATCCGCACCAGATCACGAGTGGGAACGCATTGATCAATATCCCCTGCAATCGCTAGCCAGATAAGATCAGACGATCCTCGATATATTGATAGTCAATCAAATATATCTTCAAACCTCCCCGCTTCTGGCCTTTGATTTTACTGGGTGGGCACGATTCAATTATAGAAGTTATTACCGGTTGAAGAGTTGCCAAACTACGAATACCTGTGACATCTTCATTGGTGAGTTGACATGATCTGGTACAATTATTATTATTATTATTATTAATGGCTTTATTCAATATATTTTGGTACAATATAGAATTCTCAGCACAGGGTATTTCAACAAGTTACTTACTGAACAACGAACAAAAAAGGCAGTAGCGAATATATAAAGAAATATATAAAATAAAAATTTAAAAAAAACCCAAAAGAAACTACAAACCTTTAAAATTAAAGACATGTTAAGAATGTAAGTTATTGACTAAGTTAATTCTAACAACCTGTTCGCCACAGAGTATATTTGCTAGGTAAGGTATTATAGAACTTTTATACTTTTCCTTGCGTGCAAGGATTTTAATGTAATTACGTCTCGTTCTACCAGAAGATATACAAGGAGAAAGATAAGAGTGAAGGGGATGGCTAGTATCTGATAAAATAACACCTGCCAGGAGTTTGCATGATTTTAAATGTCTGTCCACAACCATATTAATTATGACCTCGAAAGATTCACCACACGTCTTACTAATTGCCTTTAGCACTCTTCGCAATACAGCAAAGTCTTTTCTCAAAAGCCCGGGAAAGAATAATGGAGAACAGTAAAGAATAATAGGTAATATGCAAGAATTGACAAATTGTAAGAGAAAATGACGAGTAATTCCAAGAGCATGCAATCTCTTTATGTAGTAGGTCAGACGGAAAACCTTCTTTGATAACGATAAAACGTGGGAAGACCAAGACAGATCAGAGGAAAAGGTGACACCAAGATAATTGACCTTCGACACCGCGTTTATCAAAGAGTCTCCGATGGTACAAGCACTATGGGATCTCAAAATAGTGTTTATATTCCGTTCATGTCTCATACTAAAGTTAACAGCTTGACATTTAGATGGATTAAGTATGAGACTATTACCAACAGACCAACAATCAATACGAGACAAAAACTCATTCATTTCTATGGGATGTAAAGAGGAAGATATAGGCATACATAC